ATTGTATGATTTTGAACTTATCATATGGAATGATATCCACATTGACCTGGATGATCAGTTATCTTTTTATATCATCTCGATTTATCTCCTGGACATCCTGAACTATTTGCTGAATGACATTATATGATTTTGAACTAATCGTATAAGATGATGTCCAAATTGTCCTAGACGATCAGAATAAATATTATATTCTAATCATATAGTAAACCCAGATTGTCCTAGCTAGAAAGGCTGATTTAAACTAATCGTATAGGACTATCTATCAATCATCTTAAATGATCTTTAATGGAAAGTTAAAAATTAGGGCATTTTTTAAGGCCTTTTATTTAAGTTCTCTTGGTTGTTGATGGAAAAATCTCTTGCTATTGTCCTGACCTAAGAGAACTCAGAGAAGGAGAAGGAGAGCTTGGGGGGGAGAGAGAGAGAGAGAGAGAGAGAGAGAGAGAGAGAAAGAGAGAATCCTGTGAGGGGGAGTTTGTGAGGTATTCACAAAAGTTGCTCCAAGCAAGGATTCAATTCATCTTCTCCAATCATCATCCTTGGCTCCTTGGTGGCTCTTGGGAGTTCTTCACTAGCTTTAGATTAAGGTTCTCTACCTACTTCAGGATCGAGAAAGAAAAAGGAGTTGGGATTTTCTACCTACTTTAGAAGGAAGAAAGAGGAGTCTGGGTTTTCTGCCTCACCGGGGTCGGTGAAAAGGATTTTGTAAGGGATTCTCCACCTTGTTGTGGGAGCAAAAGGAGAGACACTATAGTTTTAGTTCAATACTCGGAGGGTACAACCGAGGAGTGCACGTAGGTCAGATTGACCAAACCACTGTAAAATCTGGTGTGTTCTTTCTTATTACTTTCATACTATTAATTTTCATACTTTAATTTTCTATGGTTGATTGTATGGTTAAAGTCTTTGATTTATTTATTTTAATCACTTTTACATCAAAGGTTGAACGTGTTTGTTTTAAAATATTTAAAAAGATTTCAAAAAGATTTTGTTTTATGTTTAAGAATTGTTAAAATTACCAATTAACCCCCCCCAAAATTTTAAAATACTAATTCACCCCCCCCCCTCTCTTGGTTAGCCTCGAGCTAGTTCATAAGGGCTAAACAACACTAATAAACTTTCAATATGATCAGGAAGTAATAATCTATAAGTAGACTTTCTAATTCTACCAATCACCTCACACAATTTAATATACCTTAGACTTAACTTTCTTTCTTTGTCAAATATGCTCACACTTTTAAATGATTGACTTTCAAGAACACAAATTTAACTATTTTACATTCAAAAGCTTTATACTTTGGATCACAATATTTTCTCTACATATCTAGAGCTGCTACCAACCTTTTTTGATCAACCTAGTCTTGTTAGTATCATTATCTACCAATTTATGATCCATTAGTTTTATCTCACCCACTTTTATTTAAGATAATGGTGTTCTACACCTTCGACTATACAATACTTCATAAGGAGACAAATCGATACTTGCCTATAAAATAGTATTATAAGAAAATTCAATCAAAGTGATATTGTTTTCCTAACTACCTCCAAAACTTAGTACACATAACCTTATTAAAACCTCTAGTACTTAAATAGTCATCTTTCTCTACATATTCTGAGCTACTTCCAACCTTTTTCTGATCAACCCGATCTTCTCAGTATCATCATCTACCAATTCAAGATCCATCAATTTTATCTAACCCACTTTCAATTAAGATAATAGTGTTCTACACCTTTAACAATAAAATATTTGGTAGGGAGTCATATTAATACTTTCTTAGAAACTAATATTATAAGTAAATTCAATAATCATTGGGATATGATTTTCCCAACTCCCTCCAAAATTAAATACACATTACCTTATTTGATCTTTTAAAACTTGAATAGTCCTCTCAAACTCCCTATTATTCTAAGAATGAAATGTCGTAGTGAAATTCAGATTGGTTTCCAAACTTCTTTGAAAACGCTTCCACAACCTAGTAAGTAAACTTGACATTCTAATAATAAATAATGACCTTGGATATTTCATGCATTATGACAATCTCATGTATATACAGCTATGCTAATTTCTCTATCGAATTTGTTTATATCATCGGAAGGAAATGGGTTGAATTCATCAATCTATCAACTATTACCCACAAAATATCATGACCCTAGCTTGATAATGGAAAACCCATAGTAAAATCTATTGTGATTTCTTCCCATTTTTGCTCAGGAATAGATAAGGGCTGTTGGAATCCATTGGGAAGAGGAAGAGATCTAAGTTACCAAACTAAGAATTAACTATTAGCGACCAGGATTTTCCAAAGGAGGATACATTTTTTTCTCTAATCAAATTATCTTTCACTAATGATGTTCTTATATTATAAAATCCATATATTTAATAACAATATATAAGGAAAGAGTAAAAAATAAATTAAAAATGAAATGGTGGTAAAATTATAATAAAAACACCATTTAATTATTTTAAGACACTATATTTCCATCTCGAAAATTCAAGAACTATTAATCCAAAGGAATGCTACTTGAAGAAGAAAAAACATTACACTTGAAAATAATTTTTTTATGATAATTTAAATATTATTTGCACTGGTCTAAGTTCTCCTAATGGGCATCTTTTATACCTATCCTACATCAAAATGAAAAAAAAAAAAAATCTATCTCCACTCCATAAACTATTGCTAAGCCTAGAGAATCAGCTAAAAGTGGACCCATTATTATGGAAATAAAAAATAAAAAATAAAAAAATAATTATGACATTAAGATGTTGTATAGAATCAACAAAATGGGACAAATGATAGATAAGGTATAGTGAGGCATTCATCGACGAGAGATGAGATAAGATGTTCCCTCTCTATAACTTGATTAAAATGAGTGAACCACCTCCCAAAGTGAGGGCATATGATTAGAAGTTCTAGTACTCAATGATGTTGGAATTAATTGAGTTGATATGGAAGTAAGAAGGAGATGATCAATAATGTGTTTAGAGGATCTCGAGACAAGAGTATTGCTATTGAGAGAATTCTTAGACCTAATAATAACTCAGAATGGGTCTCTAGAAATTCTTCAGTATTATATGTTAAGAGATAAGAAGCTAAGGATTGAGAGGCATAAATCCCCAAAAAGGATCCTTAAGGAAATCAAGGGATAAACTAACTTTATATCCTCATAGTACTATTGATTGCACGTTAATGATGACCACTTGACAATGCCACTTAATGAATGCAGTGCAATAGAGGACCATTATACCTCATAACTTTGCCATTTATAGTCATAATATACTATGATAATTGTACAAAATGAATTTGTATGACATATTATAATTAAATGTAATCATGTTGTAGCCTATGTTATAACAAACCTATTATATTCTATTAATAAAAATCACATGGGATATTAAGTGAGGGTGAATACCATGGAGAATTTTCTTGTTGTAGCTGAAAGGTTGGTTATTATCCATTAGGTATTTAGGACATAAGGGAGAGTGTGAAGTTAGAGTACAACAGAGAGTAAGTGTGAATTCAAGGAAAAGCTTCTTTTGTTTTTCTTGTAGACTTGCCTAACTTTGTATTTATTTAATGAATCTATGAGTGTTTTCTTTCTCCACAACAAATATTAATTACCCTTGTTAGATTTGTGCAACTTCTATGATGTGGTGGCTCATGTATTAACTCTCCTCCTATTCTTCATGGCTTTTTAATATGGATTAAGCCAAAAAATAAAAATGATGACTCTCCTTGTATATTACTAGGCACCTATATCACCTACCTTTTCACAATTCCACTTCTTATAAATTTAAACCCTAGACCCTATATAACTAATGCCATTTATTGGAGCTCCAAAAACATTACCCCTTCTTCATTGAAGTAGAAAGCTAAGTGATTACCTCAACCATTGATGAAGTTGCATGTTTGTCATCTTTACCTTCTAAATCGAGTGTTGCATTTGTTGATACTTTAACAATCTATTGTGATAATCTTAACACTAAAATTTTTAGTGCTAATCCATGGTCTAACTCTTGCATGAAACATATAACTTTTGAGTTTTATTTTATTAAAAGAAAATGAACATAAAATTAATATTCATATTATGCATGCTCCCACTAATGAATCTGCTTGCAAATAATCTCACTAAATCTTTATCATGTGCTTGACTTCACTATCTTCATTTAAAGTTGACCTCTTTGAGCAGAGCTTAATTGATCTTATAAGGGCAAGTTAAGCAAAAAATGTATATTACATCATTTGTACAACTTAGTTTCTACACTTGAATAAATTACATATATTTGAATTAGTAAATATCTACCAGCAAAAGACTAAGCTAATATCATGGGATTTAGCCAAATAAGAATAATTGCCCAATAATATATAAATAACCATACTAATCAATAAAAAAAAAAAACACAATACAATATTCCTTCAATATCTTTTACTCCTCAATATCAACATTTATATTCATTAATATCAAAATATATTTCAATGTTGGTATTAGGAATATGTTAATATTTTAATTTAAATATTTTAAGTTTTCTCAACATTGTATTTACTCATTTATTTTCAATTTTTCACCTCCAAGAGTATATTGATTCATAAAACTATAAGCAATAGTTTGCTTGTAAATTATTAGATTAATTCATTTTTTTTTCTTATCAAAATAAAAAGTTAATTTATGCTTCATTTGGGATGACTTAAAATAATGATCTAAAAGCTTCCCTAAACGAAGCTTTACCTACAACAGAGGAATTTAGCTAAATGAAAAATAAATAAATAAAAAGGAATTTAGCTACGTGAATTTCATTAAGAACTTAATGAAAATTTATTGTAGTTGATATGCGCTTTGACCGAGAGGCCTCGAAGTAAACCGACCGTGTGCGAAATTACGTCAAAGGACAACATGATAAAACTAAACAGCCTGAATTCGCTTGGATATTTCTGTAACTAGCAGCAGCTTCCAACGTCTTCGCGGGAAATTCTGAAGTTACCCTTTATAGCTCGCAACACGTATTAGATTTATGAAGTTCTGGAGAAGTCTGGAGATAACTGTTTAGTAGTTCCAAGCTTTTGCTAAACCCTAAGTTCTATTACGCTGATCGATCGGAAGGGACAGAGGAGATACTGAGAGTGAGAGCGCGAGAATTTAGGGTTTCTACCTGAATTTGGTTGCGAGCCCGTGGATTAGGATTTTTTTAGTACACTTTAGATATTTAAGGCAAGTCCACTGAACCTTGTGGATTAGGGTTAAGGTAAAGGAGTTGCAATTTGGTTGAGATGGAAACTATTGTGGGAGGGAGGATGAAGAGAAGGGCAGTGGGCGAGATCTTTGATGATTTCACTGATTTGTCGCTTTCTGCTCCTGCTACAAAGATTCGGAGACTGGTAATCGCCTACCACTTGCACTATCATGTAGATATTTATGTTTTTCTTATTGTTTTTCTGTGTTCTTTTGTAATCATGGGGATTTTTTGAAATTATGAGGATTTTTGGCTCCATGCCTTTTTTTTTTGTCTTTTTTACAAGTTTTAATGGTTAACTTGGCTTGTTGTTTGAAGCAGCAAATGTTTTGAATAAGAAGTTGGAAATTCATTGGAGCTTTTGATGGAGTACTTAATTTCTGAAGTTAGAAAGAAAAAATGGGAAATGACTTTTGCCCTCTTTTTCATTTAGGATGCTTAATTTTTGCTGGTTCTAAATTTTTTATGTAAAAAAAAAATGTCATGAGGCAATTATTGATTTTCTTTTATTTGCTTAATGTTGGCTTAGTTACACATTATATAATCAAGCATGTGTTAGTGTTGAAATATAAAGTGGTTGGAATCCATCCTTTGGTCTAGGTGTTTGGATTCAACAAGATTAGGCCAATGATGTATTCGGCCCAGCTATTGTCTCCACTCTATTCACACTCCTAGTTAGTGGTACAAAACTAGTGGTTTGACTAAGATCAAATGGTTTTTACAATTTTTGACCCGCATAGGTTTGTGTTTAATCAAGATGGATCAAGGTAAGTGATTCCAATGGGATTAGGCTCAATTTTGGTCTCTATTCTGTTCACTGGCCCTATTAAATGTTATATAGCTAATGGTACATTAGAATCAAATGGTTTTTGTGGTTTGTTGCTCACATAGGTTTGCATTTAATCATGGTTGATCAAAATAGTGATTCCAATAGTGGCTCATGTGGTTGAGCTAACGTATGATGCTTGACATTTGATGTTGAGAAGCTTCTGTATGGGATGAGTAGATGTTGGTGCATATGATTTACATTATGAGGGAATGATTTGTTAAAACACAAGAGTAGTTGGTATAGTCATTTTCCATGTGATGAAAGGCTAGTGCCATGTGGTATAGTCCTTTGCATTTTATCATGGTTGATCAAGGTAAAGTATTTCCTATCTTAGCTCCATTTGGTTGAGTAGACTTATGGTGCATGACACTTGATGTTGAAAAGTTTTTATTTAATATTGAGTAATTGTTGATGTGTATAGCTTACATCATTAGTAGTTTATTTGTTAAAACCAAAGAGTATTTAGTATGGTCATTTGCAATGAAACAAAGGTTAGACAGGTGTTCTCCTAGGCACCCAAGTAAGGCAAGGCTCTAGCACCTCAAACACTTCCTAGATAGGTGTCATCACCAAGGTGTGCATAGGTGTGCTTCTTGGTATAAGGTGCTAATTGCTTGGGAGTTATCTTTTATGATAAGACTCTTTTATTACTTTCTTAGAGTTGAGGAAGACTAAAACATAATAATGAGAAATGGTATGGGTGATGAAGAAGATGAAATATATGGCAATGAAAATTATATTAATCTTGTACTATGGAAGCTACCAACTTAAATTATAAACATATAACTTTTGGCCATTGTGTATATTTTAATTTAGATAATCCATTTTGCAAGATTTTGTAATTTGTGTATTTAGAATGGCATAAAATTTGAAAATATATTTATTTTTACTATTTATTTTGATGATTATTATATTATGCTCTCAAAAGTATTTCTCCTTTTTAATAATTTATTGGTATAACTATTTTTAAGTTTAGTATTTGAAATTTTTTAGCACCTAACTTTTGCTTAAGCAAGCGCTTAATGCCTCGGGCATTAGATAATCATGCTGCCTTTAACGTGCTTAGCACCTTTAATTAATAACATTGGTCTTATGTTAGGCAGTTAATAATTATGTTACATAAATATCATGTTCTTTGTATGAGCTTTCAAAAAACGCCATGATTTTTGCAGATTGCTCTAATTCAAAAATATCCCAATAGGGTGAGTGATCACTAATGTCACTAATGTGTTCTCACATGCATGAGGATCAATGGAAGCATTATATATATATAGAAATTTCTTAGAGATTTCTTCTATTTTACATGTGATGCCAAATAAGGTTTATTTAGTTATATGGGATTGTAGTGTCCTACAGGTTTAAGCCCTTATTGCTAATTATATCTCAAATGGGAGTCTAAAAAAACTCGAAATTAAAGGTGTTCATTTGTGCTCTCTAGTGTTTTGCATAATAGTGCTTCTAATATGGCCTTTCTATGTATCCAAACTGGTAGAATGGCTTCATAGCATGCAAGATACTATTAGTTTTGTATGGAATTTGATTGTGTCGATCAATCGGGTTGTACTATTGTCTCAAACCTAAATACCATTGATCAAGCTCGTGGGGGGTTATAGGGGGGTAGCGGTCCCCCTGCTTGGAGTTCGGGGGTCTTGCCTCATTTTTTTATTTTTTTGTACAAATATTGTAGCGTTGTATGCTAGAGCACTTTAGCGCTCTTCGGGCTTGGGCTTAAGATAGAGATTGGAGCATTGTGGCACTCCAAACCCCGGCATTACAAGCCGAGCTATGCAGCCTTTCTTCCTTTTTTCCTTGTTTAACTTGAAGGGATGCATCCTTTAGTATATTGAAAAGCATTTCTTTGTTTGTTCTGAGTGTAAGAACAAAGAGAGAAGTAAAGAGAAACTAGGAGAGTGTAAGAAGCGATTTATACAATTTTTCCCAATTTGTATATTGAATTTATTGGTGTGATGTTGCTCCGTTATTTTTTTTCCTTATTTTGGATTTTTCCTCATTAAATCATGGTGTTATTTTCCACTATTTTCTTTTTTTATTTGTTTCATTGCGTGCCTTTCTTTCCCTACAGATACATAAAAGCATAATAACATGCAAGGGATAGAAAGATAGGAGAACATGGAAATCAGGCATATACCATGCATAATGACATAAGAGAGATTATGTTTATAGGATTTGAAAGAGACTCACATAGGCCAAGTTTCTCTCTCTTTTGATTCAAAAAACACTTGAAGATACCCAAATTTTTTAATTTATAGCTTATTGATCAGCATTTTATTAGATTATGTTTATAGGATTTGAAAGAGACTCACATAGGCCAAGTTTCTCTCTCTTTTGATTCAAAAAACACTTGAAGATACCCAAAATTTTTAATTTATAGCTTATTGATCAGCATTTTATTTACACTATACACCCAAAAGAACATAAGAGAGATAGGAGAACATGGAAATCAGGCATATACCATGCATAATGACATAAGAGAGATTATGTTTATAGGATTTGAAAGAGACTCACATAGGCCAAGTTTCTCTCTCTTTTGATTCAAAAAACACTTGAAGATACCCAAAATTTTTAATTTATAGCTTATTGATCAGCATTTTATTTACACTATAGACCCAAAAGAACTATGTACAAAGTTGCAAACACTCACCAGCCTAAAGCCTTGCTGTCTCCTTTCCATTTCTCACAATATATCAATTGGTGAGCTGCACACTAAACACTCAATAGGATAAATAATTTTACTATAGGATTCAACATATAAGATTAAGAAACAATCAATATGCATGTCATTCTATTGAGCTAAAGCAAGAGTTGTAAGCAGAGCCAGACTTGGTTTTATAAGAGAGAGACTTTACAAGAAAAGTTTGTAAGCATTGCATATGTGTATGTCTGAATAAATGAATAAATTGTATCTCTGTTTAGTTAATGATCAATGCATAATAGTGTAGAATTATTATATAATTTTTTTTAGGTTCTCTCATTTGGTTCTTATTTCATTCATATACAATATTTTAGAAAAGTTATTTGATTATAGATTTTGTACATTCATAATAGGTCATCACGTAACCTGTCGGCTAACCATTTACTATTGACCCCTCTCTTAAAGCTTGGATCTCAAAATATCAATTTTTTTGAAGAAATAATCGGTTGCCTTCTATATAGTCCCTATTATGGCTTATTCGTCAGTATTTTTTTTCATTTCCTTATGTAAACCCCCATTAGTTGCCCTATCCCTCATAGCATGACTTTTCACAAACGCTTATTATCAATGATATTTCTATTATCTATAGTCTCTCATTGAGTAAGAATGTGCAACTGATAACAATCATACCATCAAAGTAGACATCAAGCATATAAAGTGGCAGGAAACAATTATTATAAATCTGCAACATTATACATATGAGAAATTATCTATGAATGGATATTTATAAGCATTCAATTTCCATTATTATTGAAATTTTTATCATATCCTTTATATGAGGAAATTTAATAAAAATTAGACCTATCAATTTCTTACTTCTGTACTAAAGATTGAGTGTCTCATCGAAACAATTGGGTTCTCTCCTTGACTAACTTCCTTATCTTTCCCCCGTATAAGTTTAAACCTCGAATAAACTTTCTAATAATGATGATTTGGTGATTTAAAATTGCTTTTAGAATACTATATTTTAATTGAATGCAAAAGAATATTAAAGAACTTATTACCTCAAAATATTTCTCTCTCATTCAAGTTTTTTATCCACACTATATGAGTCGAACAGGCTTGAAACTCCCGTATCTAATTTCCTCTTCTTCTTTTCCTTTTCCTTTCTTCTTATTTTCTTCTCCTTTTCTTTCTTTCTCTAATTTTTTTCGACAGTGAGGTCGCTACAATAACCCACCTCATTCACGCTTCCACTAGTTGCAACAGTGCTGCTAAAGTTCCCTCACAATCTCCTATTCAGACACCCAGCTAAAAGAAATAACGAGGGAATCAACATAAGATGAATTAGCCTAGATTTAAATATAGGAAATTGTATTAAATGTAATAAAATTTCAATTCCACTATTTTAATCACCAAAAAGATGGAGCCAGTACTATAGTGCATTAAATGATGTACAGTAAAATTAAAATAAAAACTTTAAGGAAATACAATGATATGCATAAATTGAGTCATGTTGATTATTTTTATATGCTCCTATATATCAAAATGATCAATATGAAGTGTAGAATGAAATAAAAATGATTTCACTAAATTTTGGAGATTTCGGAAAAATAGTCTAATTTTCAGGGGGAAAAATTATGCTTACCATTTTGTAAAATTTAAGAGAATCATGGAGGATCCAGTGAAAATTGAGGCCTGGCCTTCTAACCGATAAAGCGGAAGCTGTATGACATGACAAATGATGTCGATGGGTCTAAGTTTCTTTATAATTGACAGGACATGGTTATGGGCTCATGGAAGCTTTATTTGAGAATTCAACACTCTTCTGGCCCACTACATCAACCAACCCTCGGTGTAAAGGCACTCTTGGATCCTGGTGTCATTGACATGCAAATGTGATATCTAACTATGTTATCAACAGCCTGATTTGTTGTAAGTGCATCGAAATCTAATGTTGTTGATAAACCAATGTCTAAGGGATAGGGCCACGAAGGTGAAGGGTTTGATAGTGGTAGCTCAGGTGACAACAAATAAATTGACAACCTCGAGATACTCATGAGAACCTAAAAGAAGCTCAAGGGTGTTAATGACATGGTAACATAGTTAAGAGAACCTCAATAGGGAAGAGTGGTGCTAGTGGTGATTGAGATGGAGAATAAGATGGTGACAACAAAAGCCGAGGAAGCAAACATGAAGGCAAGTGTGGCTGATTTGGAGACGCTGTTCTTGACTTAAGCCAACTTATCCTATGAAGAGGCCATCAACTAGTATATCACATAGGTGGACCCTACATATTAGTTATTGTGTATCCTGGGTTAGCCATGTAATTGGCTAAATCACGCCGTCAAAAGGCAGTCCCTACATAATTTTAGGTATGGCTATGTCATCTAGAAAGGAAATCCAAGGGATGGAATTGCATAAATCAAGTCAATTAGCGCAATGGCTCACAAAGAGATCAAGGTTAAACATGAGTTCAGCCTAGGTCTAGACTAGGTTTAGGCCTCTTAAGGCTCAACCCATGTGATCTAAACGTTCCATTAATTCTCTAGGCTCAAATGAAAATGAGGATAAGGTTTAATTAATTGGCTTAAGTCAAGTATTTGGGTCCAGTGCCTCAGTTGGAGTCCAAGTGGGTTGTGGTGGATTCAATCTATGTTTAGTCTATGTCAAATGTAATATAAGCCCTATGCCTTCTACCTCCTAATGGGCTCAACCATGCTGAGTTTAGGCTCACCTAAGGTTAATTGGGTCAAGTCATGACTCAATGTGCAACATGTGGTCACATTAGGTCAGGCTTGGGTCAAGTCTAATCAACCTAAGGCTTGTTTAACTAAGGTTTTGTTTTACTAGGTTCATTAACTAGTCATGAGTTTGGGGATTGATTTATGTCCGAAAGATAGTGATGGTTAAGTCACAATAAAGTTGGGTCAGGTTTTATTTAGTCTAAGTTAGGGGTTGAGACATCTAATTTAAGGCATCTAACAAGTGGAACTTAGAGCCTACTAAAGCAAAAACTAAGTGAAAAGTTTAGAGGTAGGCCTAGTCTTGACTATAATTAATATATGGCTGATCAAACAAAGTATGATTTGGAAATGAGTTGGCCTTGCCACCTACAATCAAGGATTAGGTCTAGGATCCATGGGGTCATCAAAGTGTAGTCAAGATCTAGGTCAATTGTTGAAGCATCAAGTGGTTGGCTATCTTCCGTAAACTTATATCATTTCATTAAAATTATATTTAACCACTAATGTACCTGGCTCAACTTCGGTACACCATTATTTCATGCTCCCTATTAGTGGTATCATAGTTGATCGTTCAGTTAGGATCCGGTGGTTCATGTGATTTGTAGTCCTAATTGGTCTTTGGTTCCTTCGGCCCTCGTTGAACAAGATTACTGAGCAAATGACTCTCATAGTGCCTCCATGTGATTGAGTGGGCTCTTGGTATATGATAATAAAATTTTTATTTCAAGGAGAGTGATGATTGATGTGAAGAGGTCTAATTTGTGACAGAGATTTGTAAGACATAACTATATAAATGTTTGGCGCTCACCATAAGCTTAAAGTTTTGAATTTAAAGTGTTTTTGACCTTTTTTATACTTACCCCAACTTGGCCCCCTTGGCTGAATACGAATTTAGTATCGTGGAATGGAAAAGTTATTACGTCCGGACAAAAAACCGGAAATCCGGACAAATACCGAGTGCCGGTACCGAGCATCCAAGTGACGTGGCGCTTTGTTAATGGTCTCTAGACATGTTCGGTGTCCGGACACAATAATTACTCCCTGGAATGGGCTTCACTTTCCCTGGATGTAAATTTAGCAGCATCGTAGTTTTAAATTATCTTTTTTCTTTTTTGTGACCGACCTTACAAGTGAAGCAAATCTTGCAAGTTGTTTGCGCGTCTAGTTTGTGTCTATGCTTTTCTCCTTGCTCGTCTTTTGACCAACCTAATTTTTTTTATTTTTGCAAGTTAAGATGCATAAATGAGCTCTATTTTTTTTTTTAATTCTGCTGCTGCAGCTTCTCAGTGACTGCTGTTTCACTTTAGTTGGTTTTCTAATTGTTTTCTTTGTGAATAAGGATGCTGAATTTCCCCCATTCATGGTAGAACGGCAGCAAGTAGTAGAATCCATGTTGGATGTTGAACTGTCAGAAGCAGCGCCAAATGCTGGGGTAACCATGAATGAGTCTTCTTTCCCTCCGGTAGGAAATAATGAGGAGAGAGCTCTTGTTCTATATAAGCCTGTGTATTCCCAATTAGATCCCTTTTTGAACATTAATCCAGAACTGCTAACTGGTCTAAGGAGTAAGTACCTTCTGGTCCTATAGCCTTGCCATATCATGATAAATGTTTGATTTCTTCTTTGTTTATTCTTTTGAATACATGCTTGCTTTGCATTTGCCAGGATGCTCCGACATAGTTCAAGAAAGCTTTGGCAAAGGCTATCATAATAATTGCTTAGCTGTGGTTCCTTGGGCTCCTTCTGAATGTCATCCAACTGCTACAATGGTGGAACTCCCAACCTCGAGAAGCGGGCTGTTAGAAGAACCAATGGAGATTGAGGATGATCAATCAGCCAAGTCAGGAATTGAATGTGAAAGCTTCCATCAATGGCAGAAACATTGCTTGTTGCCTAAGCTGACACAGACTACTACAGCTAAAGCTTCTCCAATAACCTAGTCGTGATATGAAAATATTGAAGAAAGAAACTCCAGATTGATACCAGAGTGGTTAAAATTCTAGTGTTTTGGTTTTTTTTATTTCCCCATAGATTGAAGAAAACGATAGTGATATTGTTGCCCTCTGTTCTACTCCTGTTGTTTCTATATTGTGGTAGAGGAGGCGAAATTATATTTTAAAGGAAGGCAGATATGGCTTATAGATTATTTGAAAGGAAATGGTCTTTCTTTGGCCTTTTTATATTTCATATGGTTTCTAATGTATATTTGTTGTTGTTGTAGGATAATTTTTTCTATTTTTTTCATAATTATAATGAATTTTTTTAAGTAGAAGAAAAATTACGTTTTCTTTTAAAAGTTTTGGACATTATAAGGCTTATTTTGAAAGAGCTTTCTCATCGCTTTAAGAGATTATTTTTTAGTACAATTTTTTTTTTTTTTAATTTAAAAGTTTTATATAAAAAATTATTTCATGAAACAATAAGAAAAATGTTTTAAATGAAACATAAGTATAAAAATGTATTAAACGAAGATAGCTATTAGGTCTTCTTCTTGGTTCTGTATGTAGGAGCATTTGCAGTTTATGATAAATAGCGACAAAGGGAAAACAAATTGTTAAAAGGTCTTATGGCTTCGTTTTGAAAACGTTGGATGATATTTTCTTATAGTTATCATTCAAGCAGGTTTAAAAAAAAAAAAAAGTGAAACAGAAAAAAGTCAAACAAAACTGCAAAAACTGACTCTTAAATGATTGCTGTACTTTGTCGCAAGTAAATCATAAATATATACTATAAGAGATCCGAATTAAGAAGAAGCATTCAATTGTTATATTTTTCTCTTTTGACCTCCCATGATGATTATAGATGACAGCCTTTGCTTATAAGAGGGGGTAGTATTGAGTGAGCTGTTGGCACAAAAAAATTTATATTAATTTAAAAGAAGAAATGGTATGTAAGGCAATGAAATTATTTCTCATTGTGGTTGCCTATTGATTTGTAAAGTGTGGTGCAATGTTGTTATCACCTCTCCTCATAAGGGATGGTCAAACAACTGATCAACTTATCGTAAATAAGCTAACATCGATAAGTTGGTAAAGACTTGATGAAAATATCGTCGAGTTAATCTTAGGTTTAAAATTATTATCACCTCTCCTTAAAGGGGATTGTTAGAGAATTGATCAACTTGCCATGAAGAAACTCAAAGTGGCGAGTTGGTGGAGACTTGTTAAAAATATTATCTAGTTGGTCTGAGAAGTGATATGATAAATAACAAATTGCTTTGAGAGAATGCATATTTTGATAAAATAATGATCAATTTCAGTGTATTTAATCATAAAATGAAAAAAATGGGTTGATAAAAATTACTATTGTTGAAATAGTGTCACAATATATAGGAGTAGTATCTAGAGGTAGGTCAAACTCCTAATAAAGTTGTCTTAAGGTAGATCATGTTGGTGGTTGTTGTAGTACGAGTGCGATACTCGGCTTCAGTAGAGGGGTGTGTGACCACTGTTGCTATTTTAACACACAATGAAATGTATGCATGATCAATATAGACACAACATCAAGTAGTAAGCATATGATCACTATAATCATCAGCCCAATCAGAGTCTTTATAAGCATGTAATTGGAGATCGCCTAGCATAATTAAAATTTGGTGATTAATGGTGCCTTGATCATACATGATAATATGTTTGAGGAGTTGAAAGTGAGAAAGAAGTGAATTATATATATATATATATATATATATATATATATATGTTGACAAACTTGTAGACAAGTGAAGAGATATATAGTCTTATAATTGCTAAATATTGCAAGTTCTCAACTAATTGGTGAAATAATTTAGGATTTGAAGTAAGAGCATTGGTTAGACAATAGTGGATTCTTCAGAGGGAAGAGGATTGGATAGAGTTTTGTAGGATTGAGTTCTATCTTTGAGTAGAACCTCATAGATATATTAAGTCTAATTCAAAATAAGTCTTGCATATGAGGGAATAACTTGTAAATGCAAGAAGTTTGAAACCTCTCCCAAGTTCATGAGATGAAATTGGTTATGAAGATTATGGAGAAAAGCAACTATTTTATTTTGATCATTGACGATAAGAAGCATGTCATCCACATAAATACAAGATAAAGCTAAATATTTTGGGAGTGATAAAGCATCATAAACGAATCAATGGAGCTTCAAATAACCTTCTTATTTTAGGTAAGATAATAGAGTGGCACACAATTGATGAGCAACTTTTTTAAGGACATAAATAGCTTTTTTAGTAGAAAAACATGATTCACAAATTGTGCATCTTTGAAGCCTTATTGTTAAGCCATGTAAAGCATCTTGTCAAGATTTTCATGAAGAAAAGCATTAGAATTGTTAAGATGTAAAATTAGGGACTGAAAATTCAATGCAACGGTGAAGAGTGAGTGGATGGTGGGAAGTTTAGTCATAGGGCTATTTATATCTGATTAGTCAAATTCATCTTCTTGTTTATATCCTTGAGAAAAGATTGATCCATTATATTGAGTAAGAGACCCATCAAAATTACATTTAACTTTATATTTTCTACTTTTAAGTGGTCTAGTTTGAAGCCTTATGATGATTGAATATTTAGGAAGGTATGATAACATGGCAGAGGATGAGTTTCTAGAGATGGATGAATCTTATTTGAATAAGATGAGAAAAGTAAATAGGAGATTATGAAAAGAAATAAAGGACAGAGAGTTAAATTTCCTTGAATAAGTTAAAGAGAAAGCATAAAAACACGTAGAAAAAATATACACATATAAGTCAGGGATAATTTGGTAAGTGTAATTTACTTATTATTTTATATATTTTAAGTTCAATAAAAATGTGTTCTTTTAGTTATTTTTGTACAAAAAAAATTAAAAAATGGTAGAAAATTATAAGTGGTCTACAGTATCGTGGCATCTGACAAAACAACGTTGCAACATCACATTCAATACCGCAATGTGTCACAAATTAGACATTATGTCATCAAGTTTTCTATTTGTAAGCACTGTGGTGGCAACACATCCAATGCCACAACACTACCAGCATTATGGCATCAAAAAGTCATCTTGGAAATGCCCGATTCTCTAATTTCAAATGCTACAGTGCCATAATTTCTTGCACCTTGGCATCGTTTTTGCTACTTTGGAGCCGCAATGCTCGAATGTCAATAGCACTATAGTGTTACAGTTGTAACTTCCAAGTGCCACATTCTCTCAATGAAAAGATGTGGTTGTTCACTAAATAAAGTGATCCACATCAGAAAGAACCACAATGGTGCAAAAGCTTTGGCGTCGAAGAACTAGTTCACTTTAAGGGCACCACAACACCATTATTTCAAGCACCGCAGTGCCAGATGCCTTTTTTAAGTTTTTTTATAAATAGTTGTAATGTAATGTTTGTAAGGAAGTTCAATCAATTGTGTTAAATTCAATACTTTTAAGAATACTTCTCTAATTTTCTCTTAGATTAAAATCTAAGGGAGGCCAACGAAGTATAAGATAAAATTATTTGGAGTATTTAGTATTTGTTTTGATGCAACTCTATAAGTTATGGGAGATGGAGTGTAGAGGAGATACATTGATACTTCCTAGTGATATCACTCTCTTACATTTTCATTTTTTCATGAGTTAAATTAAAATGAATTTTCTTGTTAATCATTCTAGTTTGACAAATTCTCTTATTTTTTATTGATGATGTAAAGTGCATATTAAATACTAATAAAGTCTCTTATTCTATAATTATTAAAAGATGTTTTTAATATTATCCCGCTCTTTATTTAATGCACATAATGGCCATATGTTTAAATTAAATAGTGTGATGTATAGCATCGATGCAGGAATATAAGAACAAACACAAATTTTGTAATAAATGTTTGCATGCCTAGACATAAAATGTTAAATATTTTAAAATTTTAAAGAGATACTATAACTATATAAAATTAGCAAATATTCTTTTCACCCTTATAAGCTTGACAAAGATCTAGTGATGCATATGCTCCGAATAACATTTAATAATTTCCAGTGGCCTTTTGATATCGTAAATCTTAAAAGAGTAACAAGAGTATATGAATCTAATGCTTTATCATTTTTTACTGCATAAGCTACAGTAATTTTTAGAAAACTAATTAAATTGAAATTTAGAAAAAGGATAGATGGGTATGATAATATCAACAAAGATCCTAGGAATTTAAACACTACAGTGTCACATCATGTAATGCCATAGCATTATCATATAGATTTTGACCAACATCATCATGATAGGAATGGGAAGATATCCTTAGAAATATTATTATACAACTAGGAATCCAATTGCATAATCAATATAATGCTATTGATAAAATTGAAGATCAATTAGGGCATCTTGCTAGGTTTATTGTCATAATATCCAACCAAAAATTGGAAAGATTTGGGAGACCCTTACAAAAATAAAGATCTACCTTAGAAGAATGATGTTGGAAATGAATAAATATAAAATAAATCTTCAATTGGACAACCTAACCCTATAAAAAAATATTAAAATTAATTAGGAATGTTGTAGAGTGACCACCACCACCTTTTCCTCCGAAGATCAAATAAAATCTTAACAAATAGTTCTCAAAGTTCATAGAAGTATTTAAAAAATTAATCATTAATATACCCTTCTCTGAAGCTTTAGAATAGATGCCCACTTATACAAAATTTATGAAGGATATTTTGAACTAGAAAGGAAGCATGGGGAATTTGAAACTATTGCATTAATTGAAAAGTGTAGTGCAATAATTCTAAAGAAATCTCTTAAAAACTTAAAGATCCTTGGAGTTTTACCATTCCTTTAGCTTTTGGTGACAAATTCTATAGGACAGCTTTATGTGATTTAGGTTCTATTATCAACCTCATGTCACTTTCTAATTTTAAAAGATTAGATATAGGAGATGTTTAACCTATTTTTGTTACTCTTTAGTTAGCTGATAGATCTTTCACTTACCCAAGATCGATAATAAAAGGTGTTTTGATTAAAGTAGATAAATTCATTTCCTCTATTAACTTTTTTTTTTAGATATGGAAAAAGATAGGGAAATACCACTCATTTTAGGAAGAACTTTCTTAGCTACTGAAGAAGCCATGATCGATGTGCAAAAGTGTGAATTGATTATGAGAGTTCAAGATCAGGAGATTATAATTGATGTGCTTAAATCTATATAATTTCCTTAAGAGAAGTGTAAGGATTGCTTTAGGGTGGATTTTAATATGTAG